AAAAAAAAAAACAAAAAACAAACAAAAAAAAACACTTCCTTGTTCTTTGCCAACTACTTATGGAGGCACCTTTGACCTCTGATTGGGTTTTTGATTTGTTTCTTTTTTGGTTTTTTACTTTTTATGGCAGTGGTGGTGACGTAGGAAGGTCCTTTTGATGGCTCTTGCATAAGCACCCCTCCTCAACATGAGCATGATTAGCTGGAATCACTTTGTTCTTTCTAGACAAAATTAGCCATGTTATCAACACGTCCCTGATTTAAAACAAATACTGCTGTCCTTAGCTGGGAAAGGTGTATACATACAACAGATTGTGACTACTACCATCATGGAAGTTCCCAGAAGACACGAGTTTCCTCTTGGCCACTGACTTCCTGTTAGACTGTTCCCCCAAGCACCAGGGCCACAGTGTCCCTATGAAGCAGGCGATCCTTAAGGAATTTTTCAGTTCTAGAAACTTCTGTCTAGTTCTGAAAAGACGTACTGGCTGCAAAAATGCTTTGTCGAAGAAGATATATTCACTTTTTTCTAAAAATACTTATGGAGGAGAAAAATCGGAATAGATTCAATCAATTACACTAAATCTGTCGGTTCTAAGGGAGCAAATAACCTAGGTGGGTGAACAAGATAAAAAACAAAAAAACTTTTTCTACAAGCCAGAACAAATGCATAAAAGGATCGGTCTTCCAATAATACCCACAGGAAGGCAGCGCGGGATTCTTTTGCCCATTATACAAAGAGAAAACTGAGGTTCAGAAAGTTTAAACGGCTTGCCTCTTAGTAATCGGCCAGTAATCTCAGTAATTTTAGTAATCTCGGTAATAGTCCAATCATCGCCGCCCTAACTTCACCTCACCTCCTGGTGCTGCTCTAGAGTCCCCTCAAAGGTGGCCGTCCCCCGTCAGTCCAGCTCCAGAAGGCCGGGTGGGTAAGGTTGCTCTCAGACAAGCCGCACTTCCGCCTCCCTGGCCGGGACGGATCACCTCCCTCGCTCCCGCGCTGCCCAAGTCACGAGTTGGCTTGGGGGCCCGCCCCTCCGCCTGCTGATTGGGTACCTCCTGAACCATTGCTGCCTTCTAATTGGGTTGTTCCCTTTTCGGCTCTCCCACACGGCCTAGACCAACCGGATATAGGGACGGGGCTTCCGCTTCCCCCTTCTCCCTCCTCCCGCTTGCCCTCCGATCGCAGTCGCCAGTACAGCGGCGGCCGCCGGGCGTGGTGTCGGTGGGTCAGTTGGTTTGTCTCAACGTTGGTGTCGGTACCGTTGAATTGCCCGCCATGGCTGACCTAGATCCGTTCGGCGCCCCCGCCGGCGCCCCTGGTGGCCCCGCACTGGGGAACGGGGTGGCCGGTGCCAGCGAAGAAGACCCGGCCGCGGCCTTCTTGGCGCAGCAGGAGAGCGAGATTGCGGGCATCGAGAACGACGAGGCCTTCGCCATCCTGGACGGCGGCGCCCCCGGGCCCCAGCCGCACGGCGAGCCGCCTGGGGGTCCCGGTGAGAGTGCGGGCGCGTTTGGGGCGAGAGGACTTTGTCTGGAAACTCGCCCCAGAGTGGGTCCGGGAGCTTCTGTATGACTCTTGTTCCTTGCTGAATTATCAGGTTAGGGAGCGGTGCAAAGAGGAAACGAGACCCCGGCCCAGTCATGCAGAAACCTAGACTCGGGAAGCTTGCTCAGTTCTGAGTGTGTTTGAGTGCTCCTGGGCGCGTGCGGAGCGAGAAAGCAAAGAAAATAGGGTGACAGTCTCGGGAGCCCGAAAAAGCATGTTCAATTCAGCAAGTTTTCATTAAGCACTTGCTGTGCCTTAAGTCTGGCCTTTGAGGTAGCCGCATTGGCGCAGTGTGTCCAGACTTACAGGCAAGTCTGAGCCCAGCACAGATGCAGTTACTAGGAAATAATGGCAGAAAAAGTAGGAATAGTAGTATAGCTTTTGAGACATACAAAAAAATGGCAGTGCAGTTAAGCATTTAAGCACTTAAGGTGTACAGAGAGTTGGGTTACGGCGAGGAAAGGAGGACTGAGTAGGGAACTCAAGAAGGGCTAGCCTCGGAGAAGGAAGCTCCGGCCAAAAGGGTACGAGTTTTACCACTGTTGAGCGTATTACAACTAGAACTTCTGGAGCTCTTCTTCGCTGGAAACAGCTTTGGTAGGCAGTATTGCCTAAGCAGAACTCAAGAAGATTGGCCTGGGCCGATCTGGGAGGGACGAAGAGGTGAATGAATAGAAAACGTATTGTGGCCTTTTTCCGCCAAACTGAAGTAAAAAAATAGAGGTAGGGTGACATTTTGACCTTTGAATGTCTTGCCTGTGTATGATGCTTAGGATTGTGGTGTGGGAGGAAAGGATGACTGGAAAAGATCTATTCATTAGTATAGGGAAGCAGGAAATTTAGCTAGAGGAAATGAGACGTGCCTTTTCATTTACTTAAGAAATTCCAACTAAAGGAGAATAGGGCACTATTGTGGCAAATAGGAGTGTCTGTGTACTGCCCTAAACTCAAACCTTAAAGAGGCCAGGCAGGTAACATAAATGAGAGAAGCAGGCTGGGTGTGAGATACTAGAAGTGCTGGAGATTGAGGGTTTGGTGCATTCAAGTAGCACTCTGTGTAAAGGCTTTCAGATTCAGAAATCTAAAATTACTATACCAGCCAGGCAGAACTTCTTTTGGGAGAGTAGTGCTGCTAGATTGCAGCTTCTGAGTTTTTATACTATGCTATGCTGCCTCCTAAGCATATCAGTCTCCCACTAAGAACTTACATGAGAACATGTAATATAGCTGAGTGTGCAATTTATAGCAACTAGATTGGACTGAACAGGGCTTTGATTGGGAGATGAAGTTGGTCTTAAGTGATTAGGGGATAAGAAATGTACTTCTTAGATCCTTAGTTTACCTCCCTCATTTAATAAAAGAGAAAACTGAATCCTAGAGAGCAGTGAGTTGCATAAGAAAAAAGGATGAGTACAGATGAGCTTAGTCTGTACCACATTATGTTGCAGTTTTAGCAGGGGCGTGGTGGGGTAAGAGAAAGGCAATTGTGGCTGTCCTACGTAGGACAGAATTGGGAGGAGCAGGAGTCAAGACCTGTATTTAGAAGACTGTTACTCTTGCTTACTGTTATATCCCTATTACCTAGCAGGATGTCTGGCGCATAGTAGATGCTCACATGCTTGACAAAGAACTGGGCAAAAATGTCAGGTCTGACGGTCCTGTATAGAGCTGGTAGATCTTGGTGATGGGCAGTTTGGGGAAATAAAAAGAGAATAGAGTTGGATACGCAAGACTTTTGTGCATCAAGCCTTCATTCAGCAAAGGGAAGGAAAGGGATGATTGCTGACTTAGTTCCTAGGAAGGACTTAGTGAACTAAGCATTTAGTGACTTAAAACCAGATCCCTGACAGTGTAGCTGAGGTTGGTAATAGTGCAGTGGTCAGCACTTCCTTTGGGGATTAGAGAACTATTAATAATTGGACACTTTCTCCTTCTTTCTTTTTTTATTTTTCTTCGTTTAAAGAAATGCTCAGTGGTTAAGATTTTGTGTTATACTACACTGCTTGAATGTGAGTTTAGCTTTGTGGTCTCAAGCAATTTATATAGCTACAATAGCCCAGCCTCAGTTTTCTCCTCTGTAAAAAGTGCATAATATATGCTTCACAGCATTTTTAGGATTAAAGAGTATCTGTAAAGTGCTTACTGATATATAGTAAGTGTCCAGTAAATTCCAGCTACTGTTACTCCCTGGAGGTGGGGAAGAGAAAGGACTTAGAATGCCTGTAGGCCTTGAGGTGTACTGAGGAAATGGAGAGATTCTAGGTGGGAGCTCTGTTTCTGATGTGTTACACAGAGATACAGGCAGTAGGCTGTAACAGATTGATGACAGAGGAAAATATCTAAACTCGCCTCAGTCTTGGGGAAACTCCCATGGTATATGGGCACCAGCGAAAACCAGAGGGGTTAGGACTGAGCCTTGGATACCTCCCTCAGTTGTTAGGAGATCTAGAGAAGAAACATACATTTAGAGGCAGAAAGTAACCAGCTGGGTGAAGTTGACTTGAAGGATATTGAGGAAGACCAGGTGATCAAGAAGGAGGCAGTACAAGTAGAACTGTTGAAAAGCCCTCAGTCAGGAAGGGCTGAGGGGGTAGGAGAAGAGGAGGGGTAATTAAGGCATTATGGAGAGAGTACCACAAGGAGGCACTATTTATTTTATACACACACACACACACACACACACACACACATAGATATATGTGTGTGTGTATATATATATATATATA